TTGACAAAGCATATTTAGAACGAGAAGTGACATCTTCATACAAACAAGGTATCAAAATGCAAGATAGAATCTAAGAATTTTCAAGATATCCTATCATTAGATACAAAATCATATGTGTCATGTCATTCAAAACATATTTGGTACATAACAAATGGAGCATAGAGTAATTGGAGCATATCAATAGCGTATGAAATGTTTCGGAGCATATCAACTACATATAGAACATTTTGAAGCATCCCAATAACAGATTAAACATTTCGAAGCATATCAATGACATCTAGAACATTTCAGAGAATAACAATAGCAAATGAAACATTTCGGAGCATATCAATGGCGTATGAAATATTTCAGAGCATATCAATGACAAATGAAACATTTCGGAATATATCAATGGTATGTGAAGCATTTTGAAATATATTAATGGCATAAGAAACATTTTGGATCATATCAATACAAAATACGAAACAGAAGCTCAGACGTCGTACTCTAGCATAGTGCATGTGAGGTTTAACTCAGTGGTGGCTCCACGCCATGATGAGTTCTCGACTCCATCCATGGGTAGCCCTTTCCTACTCGAGCCCTCTCACCTTGCCCAAGTGCTAGGTCGGCTCTGAATTTCATATCAAACGGATAGAAGGTGAAGTGGGATTCCAAACATAATATGGTTCATCCATTTCTGAATAACCACCAAACATACTCTAGAGCATTGCGAGCTCTAAGCATATACCCTTTATCATTTTTGGCAAAGGTCCAAATAATCTCACAAATACCAGAGTACAAAAGGGTATTGTGAATAATAAATTGGAACATAACGGAAGCACATGCGGAACAACGAAATGTACATGTGCCTTTATGAGTCAATACGATGCAAACATAATCTTTCACAAATGTATTCAGATTTAAAAGGAAATGAAAGCAAGAGCATATAAGGATTCCAAGCAATCACATATAGCTCAATTCAAATAAGAAGGTTAGATGAAATCAATTTCCAAAGAAATGAAACCAGAATATGCGAAATCGACCAAAGCTTGATTTCTGGCAGAATTCGAGAGACACATTAAACAAATGATTCAAACTATCAATTGTGCTCCAATATACTCAAGAAAGCTATTGTGAAAGATATTTCAATATATTTTCAAATAAAATAAGTTTCGTATGAATCGAAGTTTCTAACAAAGAGTTACAATAGATTTAGTAACCCAAGATCAAAGAACAATTCTCAATTTTACAGAATTCACAAGGTCGGTTTCAACAAAAAACTGGGCAGACATTTGGCCTCTAAATCTTTCAATCTAGGTATCAAATGAAAGATTTACGAGTCTAGTTTAAAATGAAATAAGTTTGGAATAAATCAAAGTTTCCAACAAGAACTTATAGGCAGTTCAGTAACAAAAGGTTAGAAATTACGATCCCTGTTTTGCAGAATTCGTAGGCTCATTTGAAACAGAAGTTTGGACAGGAAAACTTACTCTGAATTCTTAAAATAAGTTATCGAAAGAAAGGTTTATGAGTCTATATTCATATCAAACATGTTTTGTCCAAATCAGAGGTCAATGTATAAAGTTATAACCATAATAAGGTAAAAAGGTCATAATCTCGGAAGTTTCACATATTTAAATCGTTACGTCTAAACAGGAGATATATCAAATGCAAGGCTCGAACAATTCAAAGTTCCTCATATTCAAAGCAAATGTAGAGATAAAATTACAGTAAGGAAAGATCAGGACCACTTGCAATAGGAAAGATTAGAAAGCTTGCAATAAGAAGGATCAGAACACTTGCAATAGGAAGGATTGGAACACTCGCAATAAAAAAGATAACACTTGCAAAAGAAAAGATAACACTTGCAGGAGAAATGATCGGAACACTTGTAGGAGAAAAGATCAGGACACTTGCAATAGGAAGGGTCAGAACACTTGCAGGAGAAAAGATCGGGACATTTACAATAAGAAAGATTAG